CTACCGAGTAATATGTGATTTGACTGATACAAAAGTATAACTTGCGTGTTGAAGAAATCGGTGACTGCTGGCAACTCCTACAGTGACAACGGTCGACCTCCACCCTTGTTTATCAATCGCTGTATCTAGCTTTTCTATTTTTTTTTTCCGTCTCCACCACAATAAATGCTATATTATCACTATAGTTGACTGGTGGAAATTTTGGAGGAAGGACGCTTTTTCTGTAGTAATAATTGCTTCTCGTTGTGTATATTGCGAGCGCTGGTAACTACAGGTTATATGAAATTCACAGTAACGTCTCGTATTTCAAGAAAAAAGAAACTTGTAGATGAATGGTTCAGAGAACCGACATGTTGATAAATTAGACACATGTGCAACTCTTGGGTATCTTTATTGAGGAAACGTTTCGCCACACAGTGGCTTCATCAGTCCATACGTAGGAGAAACTTGAAGAACAGGAGGAGAATGAGGTAATCAGTCCCTCAACCTTGAGTCGATGTGGTCAGTCCATCAATCTTGATGGACTGATGAAGCCACTGTGTGGCGAAACGTTTCCTCAATAAAGATACCCAAGAGTTGCACATGTGTCTAATTTCAAGAAAAAAGAAACTAATGAAAGTCACTCCACTCCACTAAGTACCATTATAATACTGGTTAGTTGCTACTACAACACTGTATTCTGCTCTTCACTGGTATCACTAGATTATATGCGAGTACACTAGCAAGCCAGGAAGATTATTAAAAACAGCTGACTCCAGTTAGAGTAAAAGCATACAAATTTTACTTATTAGTTTATTCACTACCTAAATTGAATACAGTATGGAATCAAGAGAACAATTCTTCCTGCATAGAAATACTGATCATAAACAAAATCATACCCATTTCAGATAATCTGTAAAATCATAAATTGCAATAAAAATTATTTAGAATTCGTTAAGTATTTAATATTATATTTACTAAGTATAGTTCTGTACTTACAAAATTTTCTGTAATATCATCAGTCATTTTTCTTTTGGGAGTCACCAGATATTTGTCTATTGCCACATTCACAGACTTGACCTCAAATAATTGAATTATAATTAAAGCTAATACTGTAGCAGTTGTACAGTAAACACTTAATTTAAAAGATTAATAGGGGAGGAGTGGGTCACCAGTAATGGGGATTGTGGTGAACAGAGATGAGATTATTTTTCGTGATTGTAATAATAATGGACAATTCTGAAACTAATGAGCTTGTCCGTTATTTCCTAATTAGTTGACCCAGCAAATTTTGTCCCATATTTCCAAGGTCTGTTAAGGGTTCACTGAGCTATGGATTGTTTAAGGGTTCACTGAGCTGTGGATTGTTTAAGGGTTCACTGAGCTGTGGATTGTTTAAGGGTTCACTGAGCTATGGATTGTTTAAAGGTTCACTGAGCTGTGGATTTTAAAGCTATGTATGGATCCTGCCTCCACTACATCGCTTCCCAAACTATTCCACTTCCTGACTACTCTGTGGCTGAAGAAGTACTTCCTAACATCTTCAACTGCCAACTGTGTCCCCTTGTTGATGTGTCCCACCTCTGGAACATCCTGTCTTTGTCCACCTTGTCAATTCCTCTCAGTATTTTGTATGTCGTTATCATGTCCCCCCTATCTCTCCTGTCCTACAGTGTCGACAGGTGGATTTCTGTTAACCTCTCCTCGTAGGACATACCTCTTAGCTCTGGGACTAGTCTTGTTGTAAACCTTTGCACTTTCTCTAGTTTCTTTATGTGCTTGGCTAGGTGTGGGTTCCAGACTGGTGCCGCATACTCCAATATGGGCCTAACGTACACGGTGTACAGGGTCCTGAACGATTCCTTATTAAGATGTCGGAATGCTGTTCTGAGGTTTGCTAGGCGCCCATATGCTGCAGCAGCTATTTGGTTGATGTGCACTTCAGGAGATGTGCCTGGTGTTATACCCACCCCAAGATCTTTTTCCTTGAGTGAGGTTTGTAGTCTCTGGCCCCCTAGACTGTATTCTGTCTGCGATCTTCTTTGCCCTTCCCCAGTCTTCATGACTTTGCGTTGGTGGGGTTGGACTCCAGGAGCCAATTGCTGGACCAGGTCTGCAGCCTGTCCAGATCCCTTTGTAGTTCTGCCTGGTCTTTGATCGAATGAATTCTTCTCATTAACTTCACGTCATCTGCAAACAGGGACGCTTCGGAGTCTATTCCTTCCGTCATGTCATTCACAAATACCAGAAACAGCGCTGGTCCTAGGACTGACCCCTGTGGGACCCCCCTGGTCACAGGTGCCCACTCTGACACCTCGCCACGTACCATGACTCGCTTTTGTCTTCCTGACAAGTATTCCCTGATCCATTGTAGTGCCTTCCCTGTTATCCCTGCTTGGTTCTGCAGTTTTTGCACTAATCTCTTGTGTGGAACTGTGCCAAACGCCTTCTTGCAGTCCAAGAAAATGCAATCCACCCACCCCTCTCTCTCTCTCTTGTCTTACTGCTGTCATGTAGATGAGAACATTCCTTTCTAGGTGTTCCACCACTCTTCTCCTGATAATCTTCTCCATGACTTTGCATACTATACATGTCAGTGACACTGGTCTGTAGTTTAGTGCTTCATGTCTGTCCCCTTTTTTTAAAGATTGGGACTACATTTGCTGTCTTCCATGCCTCAGGCAGTCTCTCTGTTTCGATAGATGTATTGCATATTGTTGTTAGGGGTACACATAGCGCCTCTGCTCCCTCTCTCAGGACCCATGGAGAGATGTTATCCGGCCCCATTGCCTTTGAGGTATCTAACTCACTCAGAAGCCTCTTCACTTCTTCCTCGGTTGTGTGTACTGTGTCCAGCACTTGGTGGTGTACCCCACCTCAGTGTGTGTGTGTGTGTGTGTGTGTGTGTGTGTGCATGCATCTGTGCTCGTTCTTTATCTACAGAGAACCATCTCAAAGTGATGGTGAAAGTGTTGAATGATGAACTTTTTTTTTCTTTTCTAGGGTTTTTCTTTCTCTTTGGGTCACCCTGCATTGGTGGGAGATGGCCAACATGTTATAAAGTGTTAAGTCATGAAGTGCTAAGTCTGTTTGGGTCATACAACTCTTTGTGAATAGGATATAATTAGTTTAGATCCAAGAAATGGGACAGATTTTATTTCTTGTATTTACAGGTTTTTACCAGCTTCAATGCACACCTTGAAGTTTTTTTTTTTAACATGTAGGCCATCTCTCACCAAGGCAGGGTGACCCAAAAAGAAAGAAAACCCCAAAAAGAAAAAATTTTCATCATTCAACACTTTCACCATCACTCACATATAATCACTGTTTTTGCAGAGGCGCTCAGACATGACAGCTTAGACGTCTCTCCAAACGATCAATATCCCAAACCCCTCCTTTAAAGTGCAGGCATTGCACTTCCCATATCTAGGACTCAAGCCTGGCTAACCAGGTTCCTTGAATCCCTTCACAAAATATTACCTTCCTCACACTCCAACAGCTTGTCAGGTCCCAAAAGCTAGTCGTCTCCATTCACTCCTAACACACTCATGCATGCTTGCTGGAAGTCCAAGCCCCTCACCCACAAAACCTCCTTTACCCCCTCCCTCCAACCTTTTCAGGAATGACCCCTAGCCCACCTTCATTCCCAACAGACTTATATGCTCTCCAGTCATTCTTTGTTATATTCTCTAAATACACATTTAACCTGCACATAGAAGAGAGAAGCTTCCTGTCAAGAAAAGTGTTATCTCCCTCTTTCTCCATGCTCTCCGCATTTGTGATCCTCAGTTCCTTGAATCATAAATTTCCTCTCTTCGCAATTCATTTTCCCATCTTGGCTACCCTTCCCATTTCATAGACTCTGCCTTCTCACGTGCTAAACGGACTTTCTTCTCTCCCAAACTCTCCACTCCTGGGAATTCTCCTGTCCTCTGCCTTCGCTACATTTCTGGTCTTTCTAATCTCAGCAATTCTCTCCGTTCCTTAGACATCAAACTTACTTTTCGCCAGACTGACACTCATCGCACTTATCTAGTTCATACCTCTCCTTCCTCTATAGATGCTCCTGGTGTTTACGCTATTTCTTGTTCCTCTTGTCCTCTGCAGTACTTTGGAGAAACTGGCCAATCTCTTTCTGACAGATTAGGGAGCACAAAAGTATTGTTAGGCTTGCTGACACCAACAGTGCTCTTTTCTGTCATGTCAGAGATCACAGTCATCCCTCCGACTGGTCTTCTGCTAAAATTATCTACCCAACTTTCAACTTTCGCAGTCACTGTCTGGTTGAATCCTTCCTTATGCACAACTTTCCTTGTAGGAATCTTAGTCCTGGCTTTGTCTCTGTAGATGCTTTCCTTTCCCATTACATTGTAAAATGTTCCAAACATCAGAACACCCGTGACTTAACCTGATTCTTTTCTCTTCTCCCTCTTTCTCCTTTTGGTTTTCTTTCTTCTGCCTTGGGTATTTTCCTTTATTTTTCCCCCTCTGTGGGCACCTTGCTCCCTTGCAGTGCTCCTCATTCTTAGATGACTGACTCTACTACTACTACCTCTCTTGTCCCATCCCTGTCTGCTGGCCTATATATACTCCCTCCTCCTCCTTTTCATTGGTTTGATTTTGTAAATGGTCCAATTCGAACTGAAACATCGTCGTAAGCTCCCCTCTTCTATGTGCAGGTTATTTGTGTATTGTTCCAGTCACGTATTGTGTTTTTTTTTTTATTCTCTCTAAATGACTAAACCATCTCAACAGTACCTCTTTAGCCCTCTGACTAATACTTTTTAGTAACTCTACACCTCCTCCTTGAAGTTACTAGTCCAAAATACATTGCTAATGTAAATGGACTTAAAAACTATTGGAAGTAATTTATTTTCATCACAAAACTGTGTATGAAAGAGCAATAACTTGTGTAACCTACATTCTATCACTCTGGTTAAATCTCAACAATTAAAACACATGCCTAAAGATATTTCATTGGTTTCCAGGGATTAAAACAAGGGTTAAAAGAAAAGGAAGAGTTCTCAAAAATAAAATTTATTTGGTGTTAGTTAAAACTAACAATTCACACCCACCAAATGCAAATATTAGGATTTATTTAAGTTTCTTGATGCAGATAAATGGCTCTAAGCCAAAAATTTGAGCATGAAAATCCATTTGTGCTAATGTAACAAAACATATTTTACCTAATATAAACATTCAAGGTATAACTAATAACATAATGGACAATGAATCTTGTTTGATTAGATTCACTAACAGAAAATTTGACAACTTCTTTTGTTCAAATCTTAAAGGAAACAAACAAATTTTCTAAAGTAGCAAATAAAAACTACAAGGTTGACAATTATTTCAGTGTACTTCCTTCTGTTGCTAATAATGTTCAAACAAATTTTCTGAACCAATGAGAACTGAAAAATGGTTTCAACAGCCAATATAGTAACAATTTCTATGGAATAACTGAATTGTGGTAAATTCAGGCATAGAATACATATTAACAAGTCCTATAACAACTAAGAATTCAACATACATGAAGAAAACAATTTCCCTGACCATGGATCACAGTATTGAAGGCACCAGGTCAACAAGTATTTACATTAAAATTCCAAGTCAGAGTGAAAACTGGTCAAAACTGTTTTAGAGTTAACATAAATAACAAAAGAATTACTCCAGAAATTAGGAAATCAGTTTGCAAGAGCAAACCAAGACTTATTGTCAGCTCTAAACAGAAAAATAACTGGTAAAACAGTAGGCTTCACTTACCATTGCAACTACTTTAATTAGTTAGGATGAAGTTCATAGCAAATTTGAAAGGATTTTGCAAATCACTTTCCATTTCCAGTTGCCACAGAACCTATAATTTTTGTCATATTTAAATAACATAAATGGCTGGTATAATTTTATGCTTGTCAGTGCAGGCGAGTGGTAATTACTTCACAATATGTAATAGCCAAACCCAACATGTGGCATTCTTTGGCAAGCTTAAAGTGTTCCTTCTAAAGTCAACATTTTAGCATGTGAAATACAGCATTTTAGGATTCCATTTAAGGCCAAGCCCCTAAAATTTAGGCATTCACATTAAGAACAATGTATCAAGTTCAGTAATTCCTGCCCGCTAAAAATATGAGGGAAAATGGACATAATTGTATTCACTTAGGATGCCATTATTATAGATGTTTTAGTCCCTGAACCCTGATCACTGCAAACACATGAGAAGTATGAGGAGACAGGCTATATATATGGACAGGAAATAGTAGAAGGGAAAAAACTGGGAAACTTGTCCATGAGAATTTATGAATATAAAAACACACGTAGCAGAGATGACATTAACAATTCTTGTGTCATACACAGAAATATCAAGGGACATTCCATGCATTGGCAAGATATTGAATTTGTTTACTGGGAATCAGATTTAAAACAATGAAGATGTGTTGACACTTCACTCATCACCACCTCCAACACCGTCACTCAACAAGCTAATAGTTATACATCAGCTAATATAACACTTCTATGAGACTGCCACGTAAAACAGTCTATCCTATGAGGATAGACTGAGGGCACTGAATCTGCACTCTCTAGCAAGGTGTAGAATTAGGGGGGAAGGATATAACTGAGTTGTAAAATGGAAGACAGGTATAAATAGAGGGGATATAAATAATGTGCTTAAAATATCTAACCAAGACAGGAATTGCAGCAATGTATTCAGATTAGAAAAATTTTGATTTAGAAAGGATATAGGAAAGCACTGGTTTGGTAATCAAGTTGTGGATGAGTGGAACAAACTATTGAGTAGCATCATTGAAGCAAAAACCTTGTGTACCTTTAAAAATAGGTTAGACAAGTACACGAGTGGAATGAAATGTAGACTTGGATGGCATGGGCCAGTAGGCCCGCTGCAGTGCTCCTCCTTTCTTATGTTCCTAAGATAAGCCCTTTTCCACTCATGGCATCCTGCACTGACTACTACTACCAGGTACTATTAATAATACCACTACCAGTACCTGTCTCCTCTCATATTCCTCATATATTTGAAGCAATCAAAGTCCAATAATTGTATCCTACTGAATGCATTCATGTCCCTTTCTCTCAAGTTGTTGGCAGTTATTTGCCTTCTTACAACAACACAAAAATATAACCAGTCAAAATTCAACTGCACTATTTTTAAATTTACATGAATGCTGTCTCACAGCATTTTCAGAAAAAATAATCTCTACTTAATTCTGGAATTAATAATCTTCATAAATCAATGAAAATAAATTAAACAATTACCTTAGAAATTAGTTCTAGGTATTGTAATTCGTAGACTGATCATACAAGTGAAGAAGACTTTATGATTGAAAATGTTGAATACTAAAGAAAAAAAAAAAGTGCTGTCATGGTAAAAGTATATAAGGCAAAAGCTCTTTAGTGCCTCTCATATGGGAAATTTGTCAAGATTTTTTTTTCCAAGTTATTCCTTCTAAAACTATAAGTATATCTACAGAGTTTATATTTGAAAAACTGTACAAAACCACAATCTTCCCATAGTTAGCAACAATATAACCTACAAGCATGGTTTAAACAAATACATATATATGCAATAAAATTTTAATTTGTATTCTTTGTAAAAACAGCACTTAATTGCTTATTCATTACATGGAATGGTAAGAAATAGTTGAACAGTTTTAAATGTATACAAAGAAAACTGTATGAAAATAAATAATTGCAGTACAAAATATAAATACAAAGAAAATAATCAGCTTGTACTGAGAGAAGAACCTGTAAATGCATCTACTGGCTGCCATCACCCTTGAGATGGAATGATAATTATGCTTTAAGACAAACAACTTAAGGAAGACTTTAACAATATCATAAGTACCATATATGCACAGAAAATAGTCATATGCAGCTGGTATATCTTATGAAGCAGATCACAATCATTATTGAATTGGAATATAACCAACATAGTGTTCACATTTTCTTATATCAACACAGCAGTTAAATCAATTATTATTCTCCAAAACACGCTAAACCTGAATGGGTCATAGAGCTCAATTAAATTAAAAAATAAATCATATTGCAAATGAAAAATTGAAATGTCAATTTCAATTTTTCATTAAGCATGTGACTATATCTACATATTAAAAAGCTCTTCCATTATATTTTGGCCTGATAACTAAACAATAACTCAATCATTACCCTGATCATATATTACTGATAAATACTTAATTTTTTTTTTTTTACAAAATATGTGACTCTGGTGATGGTAAAGGTGGCTACTTTTCACTACCTGTAAGAGACTGAGTATAGTAGGGTAACTGGAACCATCACCAGCCCTGAAATATTACCCCAAATAAAAATTCACAGCTTTAGACTGGACATGGGTGTACTATCAGACCTACATAACCCTCATACACTTATTCCTCCAAATGAATAAGAAAAAAATCTATGAGTAGTAACAAAAAGGTCAGAGTGCTGTCTTGCTCAGAATATAAACAGTATATTTCAGATATACAGAATTCTTCCTCCGTAAGCCATGTGTGTCGTAAGAGGCAACTATAACGATGGAAGCAAGGGGTTAGTAATCCCTTCTCCTGTATACATTATTAAATTTAAAAGGAGAAACTGTTATCTTTTTCTTTTGGGCCACCCTGCCTCGGTGGGATATTGCCAGTTTGTTGAAAGAAGAAAGATTTCAGAAGTACAGAATTCTTCCTCCGTAAGCCACGCATGTTGTAAGAGGCAACTATAATGCCGGGAGCAAGGGGCTAATAACCCTTTCTCCTGTATACATAACTAAATTTAAAAAGAGAAGAGAAACTTCCATTTTTTCTTTTTTGGGTCACCCTGCCTCAGTGGGATATGGCCGGTTTCTTAAAAGAAAGATTTCAGATGTACATTCTTGCATACACCAAAATTTGTACATATTTTAGCATGCTTAGGCTAATAATACCAATTTAACTAATACTTGAACCACCCCAGAGAAGTTATATTTTATTGCCATGAGCACTGAATGATCACATAGGTCAAAGAGCTCAGTAAATCTCGCATCTTCCTTCCTTCTAAGAAGTGATGTCACTAACTTGAGAAATCATAACAACATGACAGTAAACAGCTCAGGGAATGGACAGGATTCAAATCCATGGCAAGCCAGTGCTCTAATCACTATACTGTGCCAGCCTACTAATATTTGTTTAACTAGGTATATCTCTATACACAAGAAAGGTTGGCATGGTCTGCACTGTGATCATAAAAGCTGTTTTTTATGGCAAGAACTAACTCCCATTTGAGCTAAATCTTGCCACAGCCATGTTGGCGAGATTCATCCGCAATAACCAGCATTCGTGGTCATAGTGCAGACCATGCTAACCTTTATAGTGTATATAAATATTCCTAGTTGGACAAATCTTATTTGGTACAGCTGTTAGAGCACTTGCCTCATGGTTTCAGGACTTGCCACTGGTTTTAATCCTGCTGTCCTATGAATTTGTTTATCAAGCAACTAATTAAAAATTACATATCCAGTAATTACCTTTAACTGACAAAACCTTGACAAATCTTTAGTAATATATTACATTTAAGAGTCAGCATAGAAAATTTTAAAATATTTACATAAACTCTGAAAAAGATGAATTTTCTATATTTTATGAATAGAAAGTAAGGACTGATGTCTGATTGCCACGGATTAAGATGAATGGAGGCATGTCACGGGTTAATGTCTCTAGCCAAGCCATGTACAGAGGGGCAGAAACTGAAGACTTACGAGGCATTGGCAGGGTCCTGAAAAGTAGAAAAATGTTGAATATTAAAATTATTATTAAACCTAATCTTTTCCTTGTAAGACTCAGTAGTTGTTCTACAAGATGACTGTTATAGATAAATGATGGTATAAGCCAACAAGTGACAAGAAAGATGCTGATAACCAGCATCTTTTTTGTCACTTGTTGACTTCTTGTCACTCTTTAATACAACATTTTGTCCAGGACTGGACTACAAAGACACACACAACACTGTTTTACAAGACACATGAGCACCCTGATGTAAGACTCAGGAGAGATCAAAAGTGTGGTAATAACATGTGAAGCAACAGAGAAAGAGAAGTCAGTCAATCAGCATACTTATATACAGGGAAGGGAAAGAAGGTAAATAGGAAACATTTTTATTGTATAAAGTAGCAAACCGTGTACAATGTAAGTGATAGGACCCATCAACATATATGTGCATTCTTTTGTTTTATTCAATAGTATTGTATCAGTTAAATGAATTGTGACTACTTCCAAGATCCTGCATCTGGTTCTGTCCTCCTTCTCATGTCCATATGTGGTTGTGTAGTGTAGTGAATGACAGGCACATTGACATCACTCTTCCTGTATCTATATCTGTGTTCCTGCAGGTCACGCCTGTTTCACAAATGTAAACCTTACAACCTCCCCAACACGGATTACTGTAAACCCTTGAAGCAGCAGTACTTTGGCTCTGTGAGGCTTGGTGAATTTTTTGCTTTGCTGGTTACAACAGCAATGTCCATGTTGGCTTTATGGAAGATGCGAGTAAAAGTGGTGGTAACCTATCATGGAGGGAGGACAGGCCAACAATCAATGTTGAAGATTTTCCTGGGAATTGTTCAGTGGATAAATCTTTTCTTTCGTAGAAGTGGTTAATGTACAGTTGGAGCTCAATGGTGGTGAAAGCATCAATATATTTCTGCTCCTCTACAAAGAATTCTTCATTACATAGCATGAGGGTGTACTGGAAATAATCTATGATGACTCTGTATTTAGCCTTGAGGTTGTGGTGGAAAAAATAACGTATGAAGTCATCTTTATTAGTGAATTGTGTATAAACCTTTTCTGAGTGTGTATCATTTTTTTCTTCCTCCAGAGTAAACTGTATGGTGGGTTCTACTGAGTTGAGTGCATTCTTAAACTGGTGGAGACTAAAGCATTTAGGGACAATGACAAAGATGTCATCAACATTTCTCAGCCATGTGATGTTATGTGGGATGATTCTCTTAAAGCAGTCTTTCACTAAATGTTCGGGGTAAATATTTTCCAGGATGGCACTAAGGGGTGAACCCATCACATGTCAAGATTTGATACACTTGTTCTCACCACAACCCCAAGACTAAATACAAAGTTATCATAGGTCTTTTTCCTCCATCTCTACAGGATTTGTAATGAAGAGGAAAAGATATGAATTAAAGATGCCTTCATTGCCTTAATTTAGCTCCACTGCATATCATCCACTCCTGAAAAAGAAAAGCCTTACTCATCCACATCTTGCAAAATGGGTCTGTGCAGCGAGTTTGCACAGTATCCTGCCCCAGGGAGCGCATAATGGGAAAAGCAAAATTCTGACCTTTTATTTGGTTTAAAATAAGTGAATTTGAGGTATCTTCTAGGATGGTTTTTATGATTTTATTGACTGTTTCTTGGTATCATTTGATAGAATGGAAGATATACTACTGAAATAGAGAAGATTTTGGTTGGTTTCAGGACCAAAAGTAATTTGAAAATGGGCTCAGAGTGGAAATATAAGGACTGGTAAGGCCTTTCCTATATGCCCTGTCTGTTTTATGGGCTTTTACTATGTCTGATTCAATTATTGGGATGCCATAAACCATGACCAATCATTTCTGGTTATATTTTATTATCTTGGAAATAGAGTAAATCTTCTATTTTTGTGTTTACCTGATTATAAATTCAAAATGGAAAGCAAGTGTAATATAGAAGAGGCCTGGGGATGTGATTAATGAACAGAGGAAATGTTGTTTTCGTGCCAGGAATGCCTACATTGTTTATTTTTTACTCTACTTTTAAACTGGCTTTTTTTAAGGGTGTGGAAAATTGGCCAAATTACTAACCTCTGTGTACTTTACAGGGTAGGTCTGGGAGTATTTTTGTGCTCTGTCTTAGCAAAAAAAGCTAAAAATTTAGTTAAATTGAGCGATGGAAGTGGCTTAACCCTTTCAGGGTCCATGCCATAGATCTACGGCTTTGAAGCTAGGGTCCAAACCGTAGATCTACGCCATGAGCTCAGCTCGCTCAGATAACCCGTGAGCGGTAAATATGGGCCTAGATATGAGAGAACAAATTTATGTGGTAAGTGTGCACCACAAAACAAATTCTGCAGCATGCACTGCATAATGAGGGAAAGGGTGGGAGAGTTTCAATGGAGAGGAATAAATGGGATTAGGTCAGGGGTTTCAAATAGAGTTAGAGCTAAAGAAGGAGTAGCAATAATGTTGAAGGATAAGCTATGGCAGGAAAAGAGGGACTACAAATGTATTAATTCAAGGATTATGTGGAGTAAAATAAAGATTGGATGTGAAAAGTGGGTTATAGTAAGCGTGTATGCACCTGGAGAAGAGAGAAGTGTAGAGGAGAGAGAGAGATTTTGGGAAATGTTGAGTGAATGCGTGGGGAGTTTTGAATCAAGTGTGAGAGTAATGGTGGTTGGGGATTTCAATGCTAAAGTGGGTAAAAAGGTTATGGAGGGAGTAGTAGGTAAATTTGGGGTGCCAGGGGTAAATGTAAATGGGGAGCCTTTAATTGAGCTATGTGTAGAAAGAAATTTGGTAATAAGTAATACATATTTTATGAAAAAGAGGATAAATAAATATACAAGGTATGATGTAGCACGTAATGAAAGTAGTTTGTTAGATTATGTATTGGTGGATAAAAGGTTGATGGGTAGGCTCCAGGATGTACATGTTTATAGAGGGGCAACTGATATGTCAGATCATTATTTAGTTGTAGCTACAGTTAGAGTAAGAGGTAGATGGGAAAAGAGGAAGGTGGCAACAACAAGTAAGATGATATAGTGTTGGAGTGGTTTGTACTTTTGTTTAATTTTTTTTTTTTTTAAATTAATCCATGTTAAGCGCTAAACCCAAGTGAGTCATTCAGCAAAAGACGTGTTGGAGGCTCGATCCTCCGTCTGGTGAGCGCCAGACAGACACGCTTCCTATTTTTTTTAATAAATGTATGAAAGAGGTGAAGGTACCTAGGGATTGGCGGAGAGCATGTATAATCCTTTTATATAAAGGGAAAGGGGACAAAAGAGATTGTAAAAATTATAGAGGAATAAGTTTACTGAGTATACCAGGAAAAGTATACGGTAGGGTTATAATTGAAAGAATTAGAGGTAAGACAGAATGTAGGATTGCGGATGAGCAGGGAGGCTTCAGAGTGGGTAGGGGATGTGTAGATCAAGTGTTTACATTGAAGCATATATGTGAACAGTATTTAAATAAAGGTAGGGAAGTTTTTATTGCATTTATGGATTTAGAAAAGGCATATGATAGAGTGGATAGAGGAGCAATGTGGCAGATGTTGCAAGTATATGGGATAGGTGGTAAGTTACTAAATACTGTTAAGAGTTTTTATGAGGATAGTGAGGCTCAGGTTAGGGTGTGTAGAAGAGAGGGAGAATACTTCCCGGTAAAAGTAGGTCTTAGACAGGGATGTGTAATGTCACCATGGTTGTTTAATATATTTATAGATGGGGTTGTAAAAGAAGTAAATGCTAGGGTGCTTGGGAGAGGGGTGGGATTAAATTATGGGGAATCAAATTCAAAATGGGAATTGACACAGTTACTTTTTGCTGATGATACTGTGCTTATGGGAGATTCTAAAGAAAAATTGCAAAGGTTAGTGGATGAGTTTGGGAATGTGTGTAAAGGTAGAAAGTTGAAAGTGAACATAGAAAATAGTAGGGTGATGAGGGTATCAAATGATTTAGATAAAGAAAAATTGGATATCAAATTGGGGAGGAGGAGTATGGAAGAAGTGAATGTTTTTGATACTTGGGAGTTGACGTGTCGGCGGATGGATTTATGAAGGATGAGGTTAATCATAGAATTGATGAGGGAAAAAGGTGAGTGGTGCGTTGAGGTATATGTGGAGTCAAAAAACACTATCTATGGAGGCAAAGAAGGGAATGTATGAAAGTATAGTGGTACCAACACTCTTATATGGATGTGAAGCTTGGGTGGCAAATGCAGCAGTGAGGAGACGGTTGGAGGCAGTGGAGATGTCCTGTCTAAGGGCAATGTGTGGTGTAAATATTATGCAGAAAATTCGGAGTGTGGAAATTAGGAGGTGTGGAGTTAATAAAAGCATTAGTCAGAGGGCAGAAGGGTTGTTGAGGTGGTTTGGTCATTTAGAGAGAATGGATCAAAGTAGAATGATATGGAAAGCATATAAATCTATAGGGGAAGGAAGGAGGGGTAGGGGTCGTCCTCGAAAGGGTTGGAGAGAGGGGGTAAAGGAGGTTTTGTGGGCGAGGGGCTTGGACTTCCACCAAGCGTGCGTGAGCGTGTTAGATAGGAGTGAATGGAGACGAATGATACTTGGGACCTGAGGATCTGTTGGAGTGTGAGCAGGGTAATATTTAGTGAAGGGATTTAGGGAAACCGGTTATTTTATATAGCCAGACTTGAGTCCTGGAAATGGGAAGTACAATGCCTGCACTTTAAAGGAGGGGTTTGGGATATTGGCAGTTTGGAGGGATATGTTGTGTATCTTTATAAGTATATGCTTCTAAACTGTTGTATTCTGAGCACCTCTGCAAAAACAGTGAAAATGTGTGAGTGTGGTGAAAGTGTTGAATGATGATGAAAGCATTTTCTTTTTGGGGATTTTCTTTCTTTTTTGGGTCACCCTGCCTCGGTGGGAGACAGCCGACTTTTTGAAAAAAAAAAAAAAAAAAAAAATTTGGATTAAAACAGCAACTTTGTGTTTTTTTTTTGTATGTTTTTTACAGTTGTATTCACGATTTCTTGGTCTCATTTGATAGAATGGAATATATATTACAGAAATAGTGATGATTTTGATTGGTTTTAGTACTGAAAATGTATTGAAACCGAGCTCAAAGTCGAGAAAATGTTCAATTTTTGCCGATGTTCAAGAGTAAACAAATGTCGTCACGAGTCTAAGACGTGTCAGCTGGTGGGTCTTGTGTACATTCACGAATGTACTGATATTATTTTTACAATTATTACAACAATTATTATAACAGTAAATCTTCTATTTTTAGGTGTGAATAAAAATTCATTACGTGAATAAAAAATCAAAATGAAATTCATTTGTAAAGCCTGAAAACATAACTAATAAACAGAAGAAATATTAATTTAGTGCCAGGAATGCCTGCATTATTTATTCTGGACCCTATTTTGAAATTGGAATATTTTGAACTTTGTGTTAAATTGGCCAAATTACCATTTTCCCATCACATTATTGGGTAGTTGAAACAGTTGACTTGGCAATTTCTTGTGCTCAATTGATAAAATAGAAGCAATACTAGCGAAATAGCTAAGAATTTGGTCGACTGGAATAACATAATTGGCCTAAAATGGGAGTCAAAGTCGGCAAAATCGCCGATGCGTAAATATCGCTGATGCACCAAACTTCGCAAGAGCGTAATTTCTTCAATTTCCCATCAAATTTCATACTTTTTGCTTCATTATCTTCAGAAAAAGATTCTCTATAATTTCATAAGAAAAAATTATTTTTTTTTTTTAAATTCTTGGACCCTGGCTGTCACTCTGAGATTCTGCCTTTGGATCCTGAAAGGGTTAAAATAGGACTCAAAGTATGATAAATTGCTGATGTGTAAATTCTGCCCAGACCGCTAACTCTGTACCTGTATAATTCTGTAAGTTTTCTATCAAATTTAATATTTTTGTCATCATTACTCTCTTAAAAAAATTCTCTGCCATTTTTTATTTTCAAATGCCGACACTGCGAGCACTTTTAATTCTGGGGATCCCGACAGTGTAAGAGATAAGAAGTGAAGTCATTTTCTAAAAAGAAAACAATAACTGAAACAAAGGTAAAAACAATGAGTTATAATAGTTCACAATGTAAAAAATGTAAAACATACTTACATGACCACTAGTGAGGCTTCTCTTGAATTTTCCAAGAGTAGTTCACGAAGACGAACATGCCGGTTTGTCTTTTCACGTTGACCAAGGAGCTCTGCTTCGCTAATCAAAATACCTAGAAACCAAAAAGAAACTTTCTTTATCTTGTGAATTTCCATATACCTAACTCAGTGCAAAAAAAAAAAAAAACGACCAGGCAATGCCTAAAAATAATGTGGTTGGCTAAAGAAACTGAGAATTCCGGAACTGTCATAAAGCTGGTCCTTTGGTGAAATAGTAAATCATCCCATTAAATGGCTGACCATATACATTATATTCAGCAGACCCTCATAATACAACCACGCAGAGTACAATCTTTTTGTACCATGCTTTCAAAGCATAAAAATTATGCACTAAACATGAATAAAGCACATTAAATCACACTGCAAAGAGCACTCACATTCACACACATTGTCAAAGCAAAAGGCAACCGTGACAGCTCACACTTTGTATCAGATTCTTTATCTTTTAATCCCACACCTCTCTCCAACATCCTAGCATTCACTTCTTTTAAAATCCCATCTATAAATAAGTTAAATAACCATGGTGACATCACAGATTCCTGTCTAAAGCTTACATTTACTGGAAAATCTCCCTCTCTCCTACATACAGTGACCTGAGTCTCACTCTCCTCATAAACTCTCAACTTGTTTAAGTAACTTAGCACCTATTCCATACACTTGCAACATCTGCCACATTGCTCCCCTACCCACTATATTACATGTATATGCCTTTTCTATATCCATAAATGCAACAAAAACTTCCTTACCTTTATCAAAATATTACTCACTGACATGCGTCTATGTAAACAAACGGTCTACACATTCCCTACCCTTCCTAAAGTCTCCTCCTTCATCTGTGATCCTGCTCTTTGTCTCACCCTTAATTCTTTCAACAATAACTCTACAATACAGTGGAACCTCGGTTGTCGAACACATTACTTTTCAAATCAATCAGTTTTTTGAACAAGGAATTCGAGAAAAAATGTCCTGGTTGTCGTACATGCTCTTGGTTGTTGACCGACAATGCTCCCAAGATCGAAGAATTTAAGAAATATATCTATACATTTTTCCTTATGAAATGATAAGAGAATCCTTTTCCAAAGGTAATGAAATCAAAAGTAAGAAATTTGATGGAAAACTTACGGAATTAGGCTATCATGAAGTTAGCAGTCTCAGTGATATTTACACATCGAAGATTTCGGATATTTTGAGCCCTATTTTGGGCAAATTCCATTGTTCCAGTTGACCAAACTCATAGCTATTGCTCTAGAACTCCTTTCATTCTATCGACTGAGTAAAAACTGCCCATTTACCTATTTCAACTACCCAATAAAGTGAGCTGCAATTACTAATTTGGCCAATTTCGCACAAAATTCTGGGGTCCAGAAAAAACAATGCAGACATTCCTGGCACTAAAATAACATTTTCTCTGTTCACTAGTAATGTCTCCAGCCCCTCTTATATTATGCTTGCTTTTCATTTTGAATTTTTATTCACCCAAAAAATATCAGATTAACTGTTATTTAGACTACTGCATAATTGTAATAATTGTATAAATAATATTAGCGCATTCATGAATGCATATTAGACCCACCAGTTGACATATATTGGATGCGTGGTGTGATCTGTTTACTCTTGAACATCAGAAAAATCGAACATTCCCGCTACTTTGAACTTAATTTCCAGCTACTTTTAGTCCATAAATCATTCAAAATAATGTCTGTTTCTATAATATATCATCCATTCTATCAAATGAGACCAAGAAAACAACCATAAATACTATATGAAAATACACCGCAAAGTCGCTGTTTTAAACCATAAACACGGTTGCATTTTTTCTTGTTATTCACTGCGTGCTACAGGATTTGTTTTATACTGCGCACACTGACTATGCCGACCCATTCTCTCACATGTTGACTTACCAGCTTTCTCCTGAAACATTTGAAACAGCTAGAATTTTACTATTAGCTCTCATCTGACAGGTAAGATGCAGTTAAATTTTCATTTACTGTACAGTATTTCGGTTAAATTTTCATTTAGTATTCATTTTTTACAGTTTCCCCTTTGATGTATAATTTTATACTTTGCTTTATGTAGTAGTCAGTGTATTATTATTAATAATCTTGCAGTTTTATAACTGAGTGTAAGCACGCCTCTGGCAAGACAGTGATGGAGTGAATGATGAAATTTTTCTTTTTCAGGTCACCCTACCTTGGTGGGAGATGGCTGGTGTGTTAATAAAAATAATAATAAAAATTATTATATTGTCATTTGGGATCTGGAACGGATTAATTCTATTAACATTATTCTTTATGGGAAAAATTGGTTTGGTTGTCGTCCATTTTGGCTGTCGAACTGCACACTGGTATGGCTCATTTCCCTATAATTCTTATTCTCTCTTTTATACCCTATTCCCTTATACAAAGACACTGTACATGCTCATACATTTGCTATCTTTTCTTACTGTGAATTAGTTAACTACTTAAGATGGATACATGGGTCAGTGGGCAACCAGTAGTAACAAGCCTGGTTGACCAGGCTAGCACCAAACGAGCCTGGCCTATGTCCAAGCTCGTTTGGTGCTCCCCGGAGCCTGGTCCATAGCCAGGCTCCGGGAGTAGAAAAACTCTCAGAATTTATCAAATGTTTAACTGAAGATCACTGAATCAATATAAAGCATTAATGCATACTTTTTAAAACTGTACTATTGTTCATTTAGCTCCCTCTCTCTTTTTTGTATATTTAAGAATTCTTACTTAGTAACTGATGCATCAGGATTAGTTTGCCCCAAATGCAATGCATGCTACTGGCTTTTTTTTGTGCCTAATTATATATTATTACATGTAAACTACTTTATCTGTATGGTACATAAAAGAAATAAAGTATTTGAATTTGAATTCCTCTGCACCTTCATACATTTATTGAGCAAATGCACCAATCAAACCAAAACTATATTCCCATCTGATCCCATCAACCAACCAGGAAAATACAGGTTGGCCATCACTAATCTGGCAATCAGTAATCCGGCACTAAATTCGGCTAGTATAATTTCAAATTTCTGGGGTCGCCATGTGAACCTGCTGCTACTGTTTGGTGGCCTTACTTGATGCATAAGTCATTCCAATTTCTTTTTCTCCGTTTATTGTTATAACTGCTCACTTTTAGCCCTAGCCATGGCTCCAATGAATAAAAGAAATGTTTCTCGTTGTGTAAAGCACATACACCATACAATGTCCATAAAAGATAAGATGGCTTTGAAGCCACTGTCAGTCGCCATGAGCTCAGCTCACTCAGATAAGCTGTGACCAGTAAATTTGGGCCTACATATGAGAGAATAGGTCTGTGTGGTACGTGCACACTATATAAAAAAAATTCAGCTATAGAAAAAACATGTAAAACAGCAACTTTAAGGTGTATTTTCATATGGTTTGTATGATTGTATTCTGGTTTTTTGGTCTCATTTGGTAGAAATGAAGATATATTACAAAAGTAGATATAATTTTGATTGGTTTCACACCAGAAAGTACCTTAAAATTGAGCTCAAAGTAGCAGAAATGTTAAATTTTTGCCAATGTTCAAGAGTAAACAAATGATGTCGCTGTCCAATACGTGTCCAACAGGCCAGTCTAATACACAATCACGAATGAGTTAACATTATTTATACAATTATTACAATAATGTAATAGTCTGCATAATACTAAATCTCCTATTTTTTTGTGTGAATAAAAATTCAAAATAGAAAGCAAGCATAATATAAGAGAGACCTGGAGATGTGACTAATGAACAGATATAATGTTATTTTAGTGCTAGGAATGTCTGCATTGTTAATTCTGGAACCTATTTTGAAATTGGCATCTCAAAATTTGTGTGAAACTTGCCAAATTACTGACTTCTGACTACTTTATTGGGTAGTTGAAATAGGTAAATGGGCAGTTTCTTGTACTCAATCGACAGAATAGAAGGAATACTTGCAAAATAGCTATGAGTTTGGTAGACTGGAACAATGGAATGGGCCAAAAATAGGGTGTAAAGTGGGTGATTATTATTATTATTATAATTAAAAAGAAGCGCTAAGCCACAAGGGCTATACAGCGCTGCAGGGTAGGGAAGGAAGCGAGGGTATTGGGCGGCAGAAGGGGGGAGGGGCGATCAGTAGGTTACAGAAAACAGCGGGGCACGGGATAGTGCAGGGGTAGAGGGTAGCAAGAGATTGAGGAAGAAAGGGCTGAAGGTATCATCAGAGTTTGTGAAGTAAGTCAGTTGTTGTCAAAAAGTCAATGAGAGAGTCTGGATGAAAGGTGGGTCCATCAGCGAGAAGGGAAGGTAAAGAGAGAGCAGCGGAGCGAAGACGACGTTGGAGGTAAATTCTGCGTGCTCGGTGATAAAGTGGGCAGTCTAACAGAATGTGGCTGACCGATAATGGAACCTGACAATTCTCACAGAGAGGAGCAGGGCACCTCTCCATGAGATATCCATGAGTAAGACGAGTATGGCCAATGCAAAGACAGGAGAGAGTAGTCTCCCAACCTCGGCACTGGTGACAAGAAGACGGCCAGTAACCTATACTCGGTTTAAAAGACTGAAGTTTGTTACCGTGTAGAGTAGACCAACGTTGTTGCCAACGGGTGTGAAGGTGGGTAGCTATTGCAGCAAAATAGTCTGTAAATGGAACACCTCTATATGAAACTGGTAGGTCATGTACTGCTGACCGCGCAGCAATGTCTGTCTGTTCATTGCCCTGTACATCAACATGACCAGGGACCCAACAAAAAACAATATCTTTATGCTTGGTAGAGATGCGGCGTAGCCAAAGTTGGATACGGAGGACAAAGGGGTGAGGTGTATCAAATTTCTGTATAGCCTGTACAGCACTAAGGGAGTCTGAGACAACCACAAATGATGACACAGGCATAGATGCAATACGGATAAGTGCTGCAAGAATGACATACAATTCAGCAGTAAAGATACTAGTCGAAGATAGTAAATGCCCTCGTACGATGCTGTCCGGAAACACTGCTGCGAATCCTACGCCGTCAGAAGACTTAGAGCCATGTGTGTACACCGCAATGGCATG